AGCCAAAAATCAATTAAGTTCATCTATCACATCATTGTCCATTATGAACTATCACATTAACATTTTAAATTACCATGTAAGCTTTGTAAATTACCATGTAAACGTCATGACATTCAATATTTGATTTTGTTGGTCAAAATATTATATTAGTTTTTTTTCAAATTAAGGATCATATGGGCTACACTAATTCCCCAAGTTTGAGGCTTTAGGTACTACTAAATATTTTTTTCATTTTAACTACATTTTTGTATTATCTTTCTTAGAACAATAATTTTTTTATGTATTTTTTTGTTTAATTGGTGTTTGATATACAATAACATTATATTCTTATTATAAATTTAAATATTTTTCGTATTATAAAATTTCTTATAAACTTTATTATTTTATATTTACATAATTCACCTGTTCAATTTATGTAATATTTTTTTACTGATTAAATTTTATTTAGTTATTTAATATATATTTATTTATTATATTAAAAACTTGTTTTTTTAATTTTCAAAAACTGTAAATAAAAATATTTTATAAAAAAAATAAAAACAAAAAATATTTTCTGAAACCAAACACAATCTTGTTATTAATAAAAAAAATTACTCATACATAGATATGAATGCCCACAATAACGTTGCTTGGCAGCTAACGAAAGCAACGCGTCGAAGATCGGGAAGAACCCGATCGACACAATTTCTTCTTCGGCTTGTCAAAGATTCCAGGTCCATAAGTAGAAATGAAAATCTCCACACCAAAGGGAACTGCAGCAATGCGAACAGAGTAATCGGCATACTAGCCAGCAAGCTGATCGGAAACGAAACCCACGCTATTCTTTCACGCAGAACAATGTGCAAAGCCACCCCAAAGCTTATCATCATGGTCGCCAGCGAGAAGAAAAGAATGGAAAGTCCAGCCATCAGCTTCGTCGGCACCGTCGTCAGGAAATCCTCTTCCCTGTATCGAGACGTCAGTATTCCCAGGAACATCAGCAACGACGTCGTGGAGCTGAAAAGCGATAACGCGTCGGATATTATGTAAACCAAGGAGGAGTTTCGGTTCAAGTAGATCGGTACGCCGGAGTTATGGTATCCGCCGGGGGCCGTAAACACAGCCGAGAACATAATCGCGACAATGAGGGCGGTGACCACGGTGCATGATTCGGTAGTGTCCTTGGTCCATTGCTCCCCTTGTTCCACTAGTTTCTTATGATGATCCGAGAACAATGCTCGAGGTGTTTTGAAATGGTTGTTGATCATCTCCTTGTACTTGGGCTGCACGACTCTCTCCACTTCCTGCAAGTTAAATCAATCCCATGAAAACTATATAAGAAAATCTAGTGTATACATGTAACATGTTTGTTGAATCGACCACCTTGAACCATTGAAGCTCCCTTTGCATCTGCAGAGCCGCACCCGAAACACGATCGAGCAGAGACGAAGGGGCTAAGAACGCTGCCTGATGTAACATGTTGTTACAGTCCTTATCCCAGTGAGTAGCCAGGGAGTGTTGCTTGGCACCCATTTTATATATAAGGCTGAAACGAAAAATATGTGCCGGTCTTTGTCGTTGTCGAACCATACCACTTCAGGATAATGCTTCATAATCTCGGTGACAAACTCCACAATCCCTTGCTTGATGGCTTCGAATAGAGATTTTTTCACCAGAGCTTCCAGTTTTATCACGCTTTCCAAATTCGATACCTCTCGGCAGATGCACGTTAGAAGCTATTTGGCTTGAAGGTGCGTAAGCTTTAACTCATATATGCTCGTAAAGCCCGGTACTGATGGCGAGAACTAGATTAGTCAGACTAAATAAAATACGAAAGGTGTAGGCATGCAAAGTTGCTTGTTTCTTACCAGATGGTTTTAGGCCTTTCCAGAAAATTTTTGCTAGTTGGTGACGAACTGCAAAAATGAAACCAGAACTTCAACACATGAACAAACTTGTTGATGTTGTGGATCTAAAACAATAATGCTTTTACATAATAATGTACCTCGCTTAGTGAAGCTCCTTCGATGGGGCGCACCCCAGTGGGGCCTTTCGATGTCTCCCGAAACGATGAGAGATGCCTTTTCCGGATTTAATGAATACCTGAGATCAAGATAGTTTGATCAATGTAACGACTATGTATCAGAAATTTCCGTATCGTTTGAACCGACGACGATTTACCAAGTACCAACATTTATAAGTCCAACGCAGCCAAAATGAAAGCTGAGTTCCACTCGGGAATGCAGATGGTTTTTGAGCCAATATTTGCAGGGTTGTCTTTATCAGTGTCTTTGGCTGACGGTAGCGCTGGAGTAGATCCAAAGCAATATCTAAAGATAGGAACAATTAATGAAACAGTGTTTTCGGACAAAGGGTCGGAGGCTACGGACGTTCACCTGGAACATCTATCTCGAACCTCCGATCCTCTTACTTGTATCACAAGTATTCAATAGAGATGATGGAAAAAAGAAAACAATCCTGTTGTTTTTTGCATACCATAAAATTCATCCATAATGCAAGCAGTGAGAAAAATAACTCCATGGTTTGTATTTATGGGATCAAGCTCTTCAATGGGATCTCCAAGTAAAACTACTGCACTAGATCTCTATGTCCATAGAGAGTAACAACAACAAGGGATCTGATCATAATCATTCGGAATCGTAAGCAAGTGTCTATTCTTTTCCGCCAATAACTTGGCAATCTCCGTGACTCCTCCGATGGCGGCGAAATTAAGGGCGGTCGCACCAAGTCTCTGTTTAACTGCTACATCTTCTGCCGACATGCGCCCACCAACTCCTACGGCTAGACCGCGATGTGAAGGGCGGTGTCTCCATCGGGCGAAAGGCTACCGTACAATGCGTTGGGATACTGGTCCAGGAACCTCTTGGTAGCTTCCAAATCACCACTATCCACTGCTTTGTACAACGGGAGATGTTAAGTGGCATGGCTCGTTGATCTCACATAAGGAGGGCCAAATCACCATGGGTAGCTACCAATGGCCTCATTTTCTTATGGATAAACAGCCTATTTTTGAAAAATTGAAAGTTCTTAATATTATGTAAGAACAATATGATGAAAACACAAAGCAAACCAAAATTTTCATATCATCATGTGCAAAGAAAAATGTATATGCAACATATGATTTCATTTATTATCACTTACAGGCTATATTTTCCAGGCCTTTTGCACTGCAAGCATGAACTGAATGCACTCAGATATTGGACAACCCAAAAGCATACATGAAGAAACAAGGATATAATCTCAGTAGTATATTTTTATTCCTCCAACGATCCAAAAAAATTATACATCGGGAACGTATCACGTCTAATCCCCACAAGCAGTAGCTTCTTCTACTTTTCTCTACAAAATGCTAACATTCTTGTTGATGAAATTGCTTTTGTGCCATACAAGTACAAACAAAGAATAAGTAATGGGAGGGTATTGAAGAGTAAAATGCTTGTGGCTGAAAGAAGGTTCTTATTAAGTATGAAAAGGAAATAATAATTTGGCAGAAAATAAGAAAATTCTAATGGCATTGACTATTCTTAATCTTCGTGTTTTCCAAAAGTCAAAAAATGTTTGCCCCCAAAGTGTTCACTTCATCTACCAAGAATTTTGGTCCTCACTTTCACTTCTCCTTCCCCCGCAAAAAAATCTCCCCTTTCTACGCCGCTCATCATCCGCCATGGATTCTCAGTTTCCAGCCGGCGGAACAACCCCAAAGCGTCCGCTACAAATCCAAGGTCCGCGCCCAACGCCACTAAAAGTCAACAAAGACTCCCATAAAATCAGAAAACCGCCTCACCCACCACCGCACGCCGCAGCTTCCGGCCCTCCACTAGCCGCAGCAGCAGCAGATCAACGCCGTCAGCCTGTCATCATCTATGCCGTCTCACCCAAAGTCATCCACGCCGAAGAATCCGAGTTCATGTCCATCGTCCAACGCTACACGGGACTTTCATCCGGCAATTTCTCCGGAGCCGGCGACGTATCCCCTGCGGCGAGGTTGGCAGTGACGGAAAAGGCGAGTCCGAGTCCGAGAGAGAAGATACCGGACTCGTGGATTATGGGGGATGGTGGGATGGAAGAGGGTCTGATTCGACCGCCGACGGGGATACTCTCACCTGCACCGGAGACGTTGCCGGCGGTATCGACGGGGAGTTTCTTTACACCAGCTTCGGAAGCGAGAATGATGTCGCCTTGGCACGGTTGGAGCCCGATGATACACGGAAGCGCGTTCATGGCTAGCCCTTCAACATTGCTTTCGGGGCCTTTAATTTCTTCTCCAAATTCCGACATTTTTGCTCAAATTTGGAACTTTTAGCTATTTTTTCCAATATCCGAATCAAATTTTGGGTTTACAAATTTGGGGGTTCTATTATTAGATTAGATTAGATCAGATTCAGGGGCTTCCTTCAAATAGTAATAATCTTAATTAATAATATCTCAATGTACCAACTTTTTTTTCCACATATAGTATTGTAGAGAGAATTAGGGTAGGATGACTAATTTGATCTCAAGGGATTTTGTGTCTCTGCAACTCATTTTATTTTTTTGTGAATTGTAATTGTAGGATATGGGGATTTCTTGGATAATGGAGACTGATTTTTCTTTGTTATTTTATGTTCACAGGATGATTCTGCTCAACCATATGATTGACGGCCTTTAATTTGTTGTATTTCCCCCATTTTAATCACTTTTCTCTAAAATTACTAATGCTTATGAACAAAATTAACAGGCAGTTCATGATACTCTACCATCGAGTAGCCAAAAGGGAATGTTGTTATTCGTAAAAGATCTAGGTTTAAGTAATTATGTATACACGATGTATGTGTGTTGTCAACGAATAAAAAAATTTTGGAAAAATATCTCCAGATTCCAAATTCCAAGCATAGAAAGATTTTCTACAGTGATGACATTGTGAACAAATCACTGCATTTTGTCCAACATGCTGCCCTAAAGCTTGCACCGACCCAAAATCTGGAATGTATAGATAGATGTAGACATATAAAGATGTGTACCTTTCTCAAATTTGATCCCATGCCATTGAGTGCAACCTGGTGGTCCATTTCTCAATTATCATGTTGGAGTTTTCTTCCATTTTCCACAAAAACCTAAGATACTTTCTTTGACATAAACCATAGATGTGAATGCCATTTGCAGAGGAAGTAACGGCAGCCGAGCAATGTCCGCTATCGAGTAAATGACCACGTTTATGTTATGGTAAACATTTGTACAAGTTATGCCTTTTTGCCACCAATTTCTGGAACCTGGGAGAAGAAAACATACGAAGCATTCAAAATCGACGACGACATCATAGGTAAATACAAGCCAGTCTTTCACAGTAGAAAATGTCGAGAGTCGAAGCAGCTAGCATAATGAAACAACCAGGAGGTCCCTTGGCAACTAGGGCTCCAATGAACTCTCTAATTTGTCTTCTTTAAACCTTGGATCTCTAGAACAAGTAAATGTACTGATAATATAAGAACAGAAATAACAAGCAAAAATATAATACTTTTATCCCTTGTGCCCCTCACAACTGCTTACCACGAGCATTAAACAAGTTCGGTTAAAAACATGCCAAAAGTCGTTGAAGAATCGCTTGTTCGTTTGAGATTGCTACAAAGTTTGAATAAGACGACATTCTACATATTTTTGTACAAAATCAGCTACTATGATATTCTTAATCGGTCGAAAGAGTGGACCTGAAATTCACACTTCATGGTTTTCATCTCGGTTTTCGAACGGAAACTCTCAGCATGCTTAAGCAATGAAAAACAATCAAATACATTCTTTTTTCTCTTGAAAAATGAAAAGCAAATTAGGAGAAGTCCCTACATGTTAGGAAACTGCAACAGGTATCTTCATGTCCTTGCCACCAACGAGTTCCATGTTCCTCCGATCAATGTACCGACTCTCTCTCCCTTTATTGCTTTTGAAATGTTACCGGGTTTGTTTAGATTGAAGACGACAACTGCATTGAAAGAAAGACAATTAGATGAATTAACTCCTATTCCGTGCAGTTTACTCACTCGACCAACATGCAAATCCCAAATATAATCCACTTCTAAGTTATACCTATGCAGATTACAAAAGTTTAAACATACCGGGAATGTTGTTTTCTTGGCACAGAGTAATGGCAGTCATGTCCATGACGGAGAGATCTTTAGAAGTCACTTCATAAGTTAATGTATCGTGAAGACAAGCACTCGGATTACGCCTAGGATTGTCGTCGTAAACCCCATCAACATTCGTGGCTTTTAGCACAACCTCTGCATTGACTGGGCCAACAAATAGAAGTATAGAACAGTAGTTCTATTCCAAACCATAGCTGTATCTTGGCATTAACAGAACATTTATTGGAAAAAAAAAAGTTAAACAAATTCATATTTTAAGTCTGTTAACACCATTCCAACAAAATTAATCGCCGAGAGATTTATATATAGTATAGTTCAATTCAATAGTGTCAATGGCGTTGGAAATAAAAAATGAATTCAGTTGAAGAATTGTCGAGTCAAGCTCAAGCAGCTCGAGTTATTGAGTGAGCCACCTTACGCATTCTAATACCCTGCTTAAGTAGGTTGAGAGAGAGATTAAACCAGAAGTTTGTTTCTAATATTTGAACTTTTGCTTGAACACCAAAAATGGAGATAAAGTTGGGAACTTGAGCAGTTCAATATTTAGCTCCATCAAGCTCGAGATGAGTTTTGAGCCCCTAATTCCGAATGAAGAAAAAATTACTTACTTTCTGCACAACGAAGGACTGCAGCAGTATCTGTGGTGAAAATCGGATTACCAGTTCCAGCTGCAAAAATGACAACCCTTCCTTTCTCCAAATGCCTCACAGCCCTTCTACGTATATACGACTCTGCAACTTCCGACATACGAAATGCAGTCTGGACACGAGTTGGGATGCCAATACTCTCCATTGTTGCTTGAAGAAATATAGCATTCATTACGGTTGCTAACATTCTGGTAAAACAATGTGGCAATAATACACATAAGAAAGCGAGAGATAAGATTATAGCCATTTAGTTATGGTCTTCGAATTAAAACAAATTTGACAAACTACAAAAAAGGAGTACCATTAAGTACTGTAAATGGTCAATTAAGGAAATAGAATCTCGGTAAAAAAAAAACAGAAAGACATCTCAAACAGATAACAGAAACATCAACTAAAATTGCATGGTTTATACTGTCTGCTTTGCATCATAAACCGTAAGAATGGTCAAGCCCACTCGATCCAAGAAAAATATCACCCCCACCAACTACAATAGCGACCTGTGGACAGGTACTTAAAATGATTGACATATAAAACAAATCAAACAGCGTTGTTTCTAATCTCTTTCAGTTGGCAAGTATATAAATGAAAGAAGAGAGTTCAACTGGCCTCAATGCCCAAGCGTGTCACTGATGCAACCTCCGTTCCAATAGCCATTGTAATCTGTATCCAAGCAGATACTTCGTACTTCAATCATTATAGAGAAAATATAATACAAACTAAAACAATTTATTCACAGCACAAACTTCGGGTCGATGTTTTGCGACTGATCGCCTGCAAGTGCTTCTCCACTTACTTTAAGCAAAACCCTTTGCCATTTATAAGATGGTTTGTCATTCATTTGCATTCCGAAGGGATCCAAGGATGACAAGTGATTATGCCCGCTAAAACAAGGTGATAAAAATGTAGATAGAAAGCGCTTTCAAGGATGTTGAGAACAAAAATGGTGTGTGGGAAGGCTGGAGAGAAGTTCAAGCAAATGTTGAGCAAACCATGGGACCATATCCCACGTATGAATCAAGAATTTCAATTCAGTAACCTTCAAAACAGAAATGAAAGATTGAACTCTCAAGCATAAATGATTATAATAGCATTCTCAATAAGCTAAAAAAAATATGAGGAGAAATCAATAATTCTGCTTCATTAACCACAGAATTATCGAAGGAGATAATCAGTCTCAAGTATTAATTATGAGATAAAATGATTTCTTATGCACGTGAAAGCATCCACCAACATAGCTCAAAACTGAGAATTGTTTAGATAAATTTCTCTCTCATATACCTTTCCCCCCGACCATAATTTATTCACGCTCAACATAAAATCTTGCGTCCGTCCATCCAACTTATACAACATGACTCCAAAGTCCAAATACTATTTTATCGCTCTTGAGAGAATAGTTTTACTATTAGGTATTAAAAAGACAACGTTGTACACAGCTAAAGTCCACCATAAGTTGATAGTTTCCTTATAACAACAATTACATATCATTTTTTTACGTTAGACATAGTAACCTCAACTTTTTATAGAGACTGCAACTGAAAAGGGATTAACGAAAATTGAAAAATATTGTTCAAAGAGCAAATCCATTTCCACTATTTTCCGGTTTCTACTTACATATGTTACACAGTGCAAGAATCTTGGAATTTCCACTTTTCCTCGAAATTAATGTCCACTTATTATCAGAATTATAATAGAATTACCAATATAAGCACATACCATAGAATATTTCGTCAAATTATAACAATACGACTACAAGACCCACACTGAGCATCAAAACTCAAAATACATACCTTCTGTTCATGGGGTCTGGGGAGGAACCCAGCTCAGAAGAAGCGGAACAGTTGATAACCATCCGTCTAAAAGAACGCAGCTGAGTCATGATTAAGCTATCTTGATGATGGGTTTTCACAAGAGCCGCCGAAGTGATAAGCTTTGAAGTTGGGTCATAAACCAGAAGAGAGAAAATAAGCCTACTTTTAGCCGAGACCAAAAAAAATCTCTCCTTTATTTACGTTCATGGGCCAAAAGCCTTCACAAAGAGTTAAAAGCTTGAACCCATAAAAGAACTTAAGAAAGAGCTCGAATACCCTTCCCCCGTCTCACTCTGCACCTCTCTTCCTCCGAAAACAGAAAGCAAAACCCTAGCAGCAATGGCATCCATGCTGGTAACTTCACTTTTCTTCACTCATTTTTCTTGGTGTGTTGAATTGCTTTTTTAACTCTACTAAATCTTCTCTTTTATTCATTTCAGCAACCTCAAATCATTCTTTTGAAAGAAGGGACGGACACTTCCCAGGGGAAGGCGCAGCTAGTCAGCAACATCAACGCTTGCACCGCCGTGGCTGATGTGGTTAGAACGACCCTGGGTCCCAGGGGCATGGACAAACTCATCCACGATGACAAAGGAAATGTCACCATTTCCAACGATGGCGCCACCATCATGAAGCTTCTTGATATTGTCCATCCTGCCGCCAAGATCCTCGTTGATATTGCTAAATCTCAGGACTCAGAGGTCACTCTCGTCGTTCTTTTTCTTTCACTCCTTTTTTTGTTGTAGATTCCGAATCGTTTTCTCTAGTTTTAGTTGAATTGTAGTTAAAATAGTTGCTTGGACCTTGGGTTTTCATTACAAAACTAATATTTTAATTTGAAGTTGGTTTTGTTCAGCATCATGAATCTGCTTGAAGATATTGGTGTTATCGGGATCCACTGTTTTTCATGCTATTTAGTTTGTTTACTTAACTTTCTTGTGTCTTGCAGGTTGGTGATGGTACTACAACTGTTGTACTGCTAGCTGGAGAATTTTTGAAAGAGGCCAAGCCTTTTGTTGAGGATGGAGTCCACCCTCAAAATCTTATTCGCAGTTATCGAACCGCTTGCAATTTGGTGAGTTTGTGTTTTAGCCTCCTTTCATGGTTTAGATGTTGCAGTAGTTTTTATGAGTCTATTTATGCTGAATTTTTACCTAATGGGCAGGCTATTGAGAAGATCAAAGAACTTGCTGTCAGTATAGAGGGGAAAAGTCTAGAAGAGAAGAAAAGCTTGTTAGCTAAATGTGCTGCAACTACACTTTCTTCAAAACTCATTGGTGGAGAAAAGGAGTTCTTTGCATCAATGGTTGTGGATGCTGTTATTGCAATTGGAAATGAAGATAGATTAAATATGATTGGAATTAAGAAGGTAGTCTTCTGTTTCATGCGTCATTGTCAACCTTTTTTTGCCGTTTTTCTTCCCCCCCCCCCCTGATATTTATACTTGGATCTTTTGAAACGACTCCTTAAACTTTGTTAGGGAAATGATGTTTTGGACCCAGTGTGTCTTATATTGCACTATCTTACTTCCTAGCTGTGTGTGGCACTTGGCTGTTCTTTATGTTTAGATTCTCATCCATTAGGGATTTAGCTTCATGTAAGTGTAACTGTTGCAATGTACCTTTAGGAAATGGGGTGGGCATCAATTTGACTTTGATTTTTATAAGGTTTAAAATATGGGTTCAAGTTTATGTCTCTTGTATTAAATACCACTGCAACATCAAAATTGATTATTATTCTTCTTTTGCAAGGTTCCTGGAGGTAATATGAGGGACTCTTTTTTTGGTTAATGGTGTTGCCTTTAAAAAGACATTTTCATATGCTGGTTTCGAACAGCAGCCAAAGAAGTTTTTGAATCCCAAAATACTTCTGTTAAACATTGAGTTGGAACTGAAATCTGAGAAAGAGAATGCCGAGATAAGGTAGTTGTTTTTGCAATCTCTGGTTTGAATTATTTTTCCATAAGTCAGTGTTGACTCTTATCTTTTGTTTTATATGCTACAGACTTTCAGATCCATCACAATATCAATCAATTGTTGATGCAGAATGGAATATCATTTATGACAAGTTGGATAAATGTGTGAAGAGTGGTGCAAAAGTTGTTCTCTCTCGGTTGGCTATTGGTGATTTGGCAACACAGGTGTGAGATTTTGCCTTGATTGTAAATGCTGTATTTGTATTTCTTTAAACATGTCCCTTTAGCTATTCATAACTAACACAATATTTATAAGCATTTTCCTTTTGTGGTTATGTTGCGACTAAATTGAGTTGATACATGTTTTTGGTTGTGAAAATAAGTTTTATCTGGTGACTGCGGAAGACTTATGGCATTCTTCTCTCTTGCTACTTTGCTACCTGCTTGTATGAGTTCTTTTGTTGGACCTTGTAAAAAGTTTATGTAGCCATATTTGGCACTTCGTTATTATGACATATCTATTTATTTCTAGCACCTATGTTATCTATATTGATAGTTTTGCTTTTGCATGGGACTTTGAGAAGTGATGCTTGTCAGTAACTATGACTTTTTATTCTCTCAAGTTTTATTGACCTGAATGTTTGTTGGCAGTATTTTGCCGACAGAGATATTTTCTGCGCTGGTCGTGTAACTGAGGAAGATCTTCACCGGGTGGCTGCTGCAACTGGTGGAACCATACAGACATCCGTTAACAACATAATTGATGAGGTTTATATATACTTATGGAAATGCGGCCAACTCCTCCCCTCCCAAGTTTAACCTTTCCAACTTTTCAGTGCTTATTGAACTTCTTAAATTTAAATTTATTCTTTGTTGCTTTAAAGGTTCTGGGAACATGTGAGGCTTTTGAGGAAAAGCAGGTTGGAAATGAAAGGTTTAATATATTCAGCGGTTGCCCGTCAGGACGGACAGCTACCTTAGTTCTACGTGGTGGAGCTGATCAGGTTTTCATATTTTTACTAGTGTTACATATTAATGTGCATTACTGTTTCATACTGATGTTGGAAACTATATGCATTATTATTTCCAGTTCATTGAAGAAGCTGAGAGGAGCTTACATGATGCAATTATGATTGTTAGAAGAGCTTTGAAGAACTCTACTGTAGTTGCTGGAGGTGGTGCAATAGATGTATGTATTTACAATAACTAGTGAATTGCTAAACATATTCGAAGACAATGTTTGATCTCAATATGTGAAGCTTGCCTTTGCTGGCAGATGGAGATAAGTAGATACTTGAGGCAGCATGCACGCACAATAGCTGGAAAATCTCAACTTTTTATCAACTCTTATGCAAAAGCACTTGAGGTAGGTGTTTCCGCCCTTTGTTTTTTCTTCTTGGCTTAGCCCAAACTGCCACCCATCTTATAGGTTCTTGCAAAGATGGGTCTTGTCCCTAGAATTTGTGAATTTCTCTTCCCCAGTTTCCCCCTAG